TTGGTCGAGTAAACTGCTATCTGGTCGAATTCCAAGCTTCGCAGTACCTCATACTATTATATGGTAGTGCTCCAGGTTTCATAGTGTCTCTTGCCGCTATCTGGTCGTGCTCCATACTTCACGGTGTCTTATGCAGTTATCTGGTCGTGTGCCAGGCTTCACGGTGTCTTATACCACTATCTGGTCGATTCCAGGATTCATAGTATCTTGTACTGTTATCCGGTCGATTTCCAGGCTTCACAGTAACTTTCTGGGGATTAAGCTATTTTCTGGTCGATTTCCAGGCTTCATAGCTTGAATTGGAATAGAAATCTTAGTATCGATTTGAATGAACCAGGGAAAACTTGTGAGAACTTCAACTGGGAGAGAAATCTTAGTGTCGATTTGACTGATCCCGGGGGTGGTCTCAGATTAACTTTGACTGGCATAAAAATCAGGGGAATCTTAGCGGTGATTTGGCTGACCCAGACGAAAGTCTTAAAACATCCTCAACTAGAATAGAAACCTTAGTGTCGGTTTGAATGAACTAGAGAAGATTTGTGAGAACTTCAACTAGGATAGAAATCTTAGTATTGATTTGACTGATCCCAGGAGAGGTCTCAGATTAACTTTGACTGGCATAGAAATCAGGGGAATCTTAGCGGCGATTCGGCTGACCCAGACGAAAGTCTTAAAACGTCTTCAACTAGAATAGAAACCTTAGTGTCGGTTTGACTGAACCAGAGAAAACTTGTGAGAACTTCAACTAGGAGAGAAATCTTAGTATCGATTTGACTGATCCCGGGAGAGGTCTCGGATTAACTTTGACTGGCATAGAATTCAGGGGAATCTTAGCAGCGATTCGGCTGACCCAGACGAAAGTCTTAGAACATCTTCAACTAGAATAGAAACCTTAGTGTCGGTTTGACTGAACTAGAGAAAACTTGTGAGAGCTTCAACTGGGAGAGAAATCTTAGTATCGATTTGACTGATCCCGAGAGAGGTCTCAGATTAAATTTGACTGGCATAACAATCAGGGGAATCTTAGTGGCGATTCAGCTGACCCGGACGAAAGTCTTAAAACATCTTCAACTAGAATAGAAACCTTAGTGTCAGTTTGAATGAACCAGAGAAAACTTGTGAGAACTTCAACTGGGAGAGAAATCTTAGTATCGATTTGACTGATCCCGGGAGAGGTCTCAGATTAAATTTGACTGGCACAGAAATCAGGGGAATCTTAGTGGCGATTCGGCTGACCCAGACGAAAGTCTTAAAACATCTTCAACTAGAATAGAAACCTTAGTGTCGGTTTGACTGAACTAGAAAAAATGTTGGAATATCTTCAATTGGAATAGAAACCTTGGTGTCGGTTTGACTGAACCAGAGAGAACTCATGAGAACTTGATTGCATCTTTCCCTGAAAGGTAAAGAGTTAGTCGTATGCAATGTCATGATGTATGCAATGCATTGAGTAATGATGTTCTCAAAATAAATGAGATTGTGCTGTATAATATGTATGCACATGCCGTGATGTATGGATATGCAATGCTATTGTGATATTCTCTAGCTGAGGAAAATAAATCCTGGACTGCTACTGGAGAGTATAAGGAGTTGAGTTCTTCATTTCCGCTGGGGATAGTGACTGAAGATGATTAGCTAGGGATTTACATCCATTCTGCTTGAGAACATTCTACCGGAGGAGACTCTATCTGAGGATAATCCTACGAGGGAATGACTCTGTGAGGAAGAGAGATACTCTGTTGGAAGATATGCTGATTTAGAGAAATAAACTCAGCTGGGGATGAACTTCCATTGTGAGAGAGAAGAGCTCTGTTGGAGATTGAGCTTCCGTTGTCAGAGAAATAAACTCTGCTCGGGAGATGGCTTTATAAACTGCTCATGGTTATAAAACTCGGCTGGGGAATGTAGATATCAGCTTTCTGAAGGAACCTGCTGGGGAAGGAATTCCTGCTTGGGGATACGGAGGTCGGACCTTGGTTGTCTCGGCTCTGTGGGGAATATAGGTATCACTGGCTTGTATGTGATAATGACTTTGCTTCCAACTGTCTTTGCCCCTTGTACCATGATGGAAAAAGTACATGCGGAGATTTTATGGATGGATCTATGTCGTGATTGTACTTGAACATGTATTTAATGAGTATCAAGATGACATCCGTCTCTGGATCGTATCTGAACTGTATTTAGAGGAGAATATGGAGTAAGTATCAGGATGACATCCATCTCTAGATCGTACCTGAACTGTTTCTAGAAGAGAAATATGGAATAAGTACTAGGATAACATCCGCCTCTGGATCGTACCTGAACTGTTTATCAATGTATGAAAATCTTGAATAAGTAGCAGAATGACATCCGTATTTGGATCGTATCTGAACCGTTTCTCGATGTATGAAAATCTTGAATAAGTAGCAGAATGACTTCTGTATCTGGATGTATCTGAACTGTTTCTCGATTCTGGTGCTCTTGATGAATGTTGATCAATGTATAAGTCTTCCACTGATAGACAGGTGACTGGACATAGTCGTACGTTTTAAATCCCTAACTTTTTCCTGGACCATCCTTTTGGGTTTTCAGTCCACCGGGATACCTTTTTGCCCAAGCCGCCCTTTCGGGTTTCCGACTTGCCGTGTGTACATATTTTTTCATTTTTTATCCCTAATTTTTGCCCGAACCCTTTTGGTTCACCGAGATTCCCTTATTTTTGCCTAGGTGTGTCAGCCTAGCGGGTCTTTTTTTCATGCGTAGTATTTTTCGACTATGTCCACGCTTTCAGGATGTAGAGAGTTGTCACTGTCCATAGTGTTGTGTTGTAGTACTGTCAAAAATATTTTCTTGATGGCACATGATTCGTTGCTGGAATCCGTGCGTAATGCCCCAAGCGATTCAGATGGAGATCTGCCCTTGGTTATTTGACACTTTTGGAGAGACTGTCCCAGGTGTGTTTAAACATCATGTCATGCCCCTTGCTTATGGAAGATCTGTTATTGGAAGTGTCTTTCTCACTGAGGTGATTCTGTCCATTGAGAGGATGTTTGTTCATTGAATATCCATTGTGCGGATTTCTCTGCTGTCAAATAATTAGTCATATGCAAACAATGTCATTTAAAAAATGCAAAACTCATGTTTGTCTTGAATTTTTTTTTGAAAATGTGTTTTGTGTAGTAAAACGAAATTTGCAAGAATGTGATATCAACTCAGGATTCGTAACAAAGCCTACAGGAGTCAGGATACCTTTGTAACATTATGCTCTCAAACTAACCCATGCTTCAGTAAGGGTTATAACGTGGCCTGGTTCACGGTTCAAGAAACAAAGGATAAAGACTAAAAATTTATTTGTACCCAACCCGCTCTTCGTGATGTTCTTCAGTCCTATGCTCAGTTAATTGCACGTTTAGATCCCGATTGAGTCTGGAATCTTTGCTCTGATACTTGGTGATGATTCAGAAATTGAACATTTGTTTTGAAAATGCAGTCATTTTTGTAATCTTGTTTTTGTCGAGGATTTGTAGTAACCTTTTTTTTTGGTTTTTGTTATCCCTTCTTTTACCTGAACTGTTTCTTTTGTGATTACAGTCAGCGGGATGTCCTAATTTTTTTCTCTTAAGTCTCCTTCATAAATTTTGACTTACTGGACTTTTATTTCGAGAGATAATAACTGCCTACCTGAAGGGGAAATGCTTGCCAACTCGTTGATATTGTGAATCCTAATGTATTCAATAGACTTTTGCAATTGAATTTAAACATAGAAAAATGTCTCATGTGCTTTTTTGTACTTTAGATTTAGGAGTAAATAAATCCAAATAATCCTGCTATGGTCATGAACTATATAGTTAAGAAGTGGCACTTACTATTATATGTGGATTAGCTTAGTGGGCCATAAACATCACAATCGCAATGTACAAGATCAAAGACATAAATAAAAAAAGCTAATGACTTAAAAGACCACTCTATGAAATTTAGTCACGGGATAAGAATGAAATGAGAAATGGTAAGGAATTTTAAAGTTCATTTTATTGCTAATCACAATTCATTCAATATGGATAAGATATTTATCTGAATATTTTTTCAGAACTAGTTTGTTGACAATGTGCTGTGAGATATTAGAACGTTTTAATAGGTACATTTAATATGGATTTTTTATTCCGATCCTTAAACTCTTCTGATCATTCAAAATTTTGAAATAATAATATACAAATGATATTTTTTGTGATTATCAACAAAGATAACAGAATATATTTTCATGCAAATGAACTATTCTTTCGAAGGCTATTTTCATTACTTTTTAATTGTTCTATTTATAAAATTAATATTTTTATTTAACTGTTATGTTTAATATTCAATATAACATTATCGGTTTATCAATAATATTATGATTATTTATCCAAGAGAAAAGATAAATAATTATAGTAAAAGCAATAAAATTTATTGATTGTTTTTGTATGTATAAATCTCTATTTTTTATTATACATTATTTTGTCACTTTAATAAAAAAATTAATTAATTTTGCATGAGGATTTTTTATTTAAAGTGAATAATAAATATTAAAAAGTATAATAAAAAATAAAATTAATAATTTATTAATATGATAAAATGACTAATTTAGTATGAAATATTTATCTAAAGTATTTATAGTAATAATAGAAAGAAAAAGAATTAAAAATAAACCTAGGGGGGAAATAATGATGTAACATGAGCTGTGCCGATTGATGCTCATCCAAAAATTAATTAATTTGTCTTAAACATAAATCAATTTTCAAACCATTAAATATATTTGTTATTTTGTTTAAATAATTTTTTAAGAATTTATGACACATTTTAGTATATTACTTATAAAATAAAAATTAATTAAATTTTAATTTAATTCTTATTTTATATTCATCTATATCTATATAGATGAAATAGATTTGACACACACGTCAACTATTGTAGTATATCATACTGGTATATTCATATTTTCATCAAAATTATTATAAGTGTTAAAATCACTTTCTGTTTTCTCTATCATGTTTCCGGAACCTGTCCTTAAAAAAGAGTATGGCATTATCGGCAAGGACGTGATAGGTACTTTCATTCTTTTATTTATACTCTTTCTCGCCATTCTTCGCATTTACTTCTACCTCCGCCACCTTCCACGACAAAGTTTAATCTCTTCAAACTCTCTTCCGACTCCCACTTTCACAGAAGAACGGCTTGACCCTTCCGTTCTAAAGTCCCTTCCCATCTTCACTTACTCTTCCTCCGCCGTCCGCCGTACTCTGCACGACTGTGCTATTTGTTTGTCGGAGTATGCGGACGGGGATGAATGCCGTATGCTTCCAAACTGTGACCATGTTTTTCATTCTCAGTGTATTGATGCGTGGTTTGCTTCTCACTCTAATTGTCCTCTATGCCGAGCTCCGGTCCAACCGGTGACGGTTGAGTCTCGGGTTGAACCGGGGGAGGGTAGTTTGTATTTTCCTGAACCGATTGGATGTCCGCGAAGGCCGTTTAGAGTAATTATTGATATGCAACCAGAGGTTTTTCGGATGGAATCTCATACTCGAGGATAACGGGTTCAGATGCTAGTTGAAGTTGCTTTGGATATTGTATGTGAGTTTGAGTTTTGCGTAATTTCATGAAGATAATATCATGACATTGTTATTGACGCAAAAATGTATGTTACTTTGGAGAATTAAATAACTTTTCGGCACGTCTTTATGTTATGTGTATAGAAGAATCTCATGTCAAATCTCAACAAGTAAAATCACAAGTCATTATTTGAATTTTTGTTGGGTATAAAGTCATTATATATTTATATTGGATGTATTTACGGTAATGTTTGGTAAACACAAAATGGAACATCCATTACGATTGTGATGCTTTTGCAAGTTTTAGTTTTTCGATTTACAAACACATATATGTAATTTATAGGATGTCCACATATTAATGTATAAATATGGGTTCAATTAACACATCTTGTGTATTTGATACGGTGTTTATAGACTTATTGTTCTGTCGCAGAACTATTGTAACGGTGAAGTAATGTTACCACGGATTTGAATTTCTAATGCAGTAAAACAGATTGAGCTGTAAAGTTAATACTTCAACGTTTAAATTAATGATAGAATAGAAGTGATGTAAAAATGTGAGTTTGTCGTACACACCCTAGCTCGATCGCTTTGTCTGACGAGGTGAACATTCTTGATGAGACATCATTGTGATTGGGAATAAGCACATTAAATGTCTTTCTCATAATAGGTAACGTTTCACAAGAAACAACTGATGTGTGTCTATATGCTAGTTGGTAATGATGTTTCTTCTTCCTTAGGTTACTTGAGTACTTTGAAAAATATTCGATGAAATCTCGATTGTTGATGGTGCACAGTAGATTGTATGATCCTCTGTGGTTAAGAGACCTATAAAAGACATTTGAAGCATCATTTTTCTCTTTTTTTCCATTCACTTTTTTTTCTCAGGTTTTCTGGGCTATGATTTTGATATCTCTATTACTCGAACTCTTATTATTAATATGTTTGATCATAGTGTTAATTCTTCATATTTCCCCTTTCTTGTGTTGACAGTACTCTTTAGAATAGACATTCCATCTACTATGCATCACAAAACAAGGGGAATAATTTGTTGGTGTGGATGGATCATAGGAGCAGTGGCCACCCCCTGTCACAACATGGCTCCTCCAGTACATAAGAGACATTGAACATAACCTCTACTTTAGCTATTGATGATTGGTTGGATCGAGCCTTCACTTAATCCTAGTTTGATTGGAGAATGCTTATTCTCGAGGAAGACAATGAAGGTACGACAAACAAAAGAAAGGGGAAGGGGTTGAATTGAGTTATTAGATTTGAAACTTTTTTTATCCAACACAATCAAAGAAGAAACAAGAACAAAAATAAATGAGCATAATTATTTTTATCCTGGTTGACTGTTAACGGAGTTAATCTAGTCCATTCGCCAAGGTGATTTCGCCTTCTCAATAAGGACTTAATCCATTATAACCAAACTAATTACAACCACATAGACTATCTGTTGTACCCCAAAATTTTCCCTCTCATTTCTCAAGTAAACTCTCACAAGATCTCCTTTGGTTCAAGACTACACAAGGCTTGACCAGCTCAAGACACCCCCTCAAGCACTGATGACTGAAAATTAGGATTTGAGATTGCACAAGGACAAATAGACTTTTAATGCCCCACATAACTTTTATGGATCATTTTGGATCCTCAAGATTTCTCATGTCAAGTTTCAAGTCTTGGATCACATTTTTGCTCAATCAATTGATCAGTTGACCTAAAATCAAATGTATTGGGGAAAAAGTCAATTGTGGTCAATTTATAGTCAAACTTCATAATTTTTTATCAATATCAACATTATGAACTCATATATGTCATATGATCAAGTTTGGACCATAATTCCACAAGAAATTTGATCAGATCATTAAAAGGGCAAAATGGTCAAAATTAGGGTTTTATTTGAGAAGGTGCAACTTCTGATTTTTTTGACCTAGAAAATGTTTGATTGGTTTAAGTTATGATCTCAAGGATTCAAATGCTTCATTTTTACCTAATGACATGGCTCAAAATATTCTTCAAGATCAATTGATTAACAGTTAAATTTCAGTCAACTGTACACTAAAAAGTCAAACTTTGACTTTTTTGTCAAGATCAAGTGTTAAAGATCACAATTCATCAAAACATGTCAAAATATGAAACTTGTTCATCAAGAAATAAAAAAGTCAAGATTTCATTTTGAAAAGTCAAAATTTCTAAAAGAAATTTTTCTAAGTGTTGGAAAATCATATTTGTTCACAACCTTGAGCCAAATTTTCACCATGATGCAAGATGATTCAAAGGAAACTTCCAACATGAAAGTTGTAGATCTCAATGATATCTAAAACATTGTAGAACACAACTTCTTCTATAAAGCATGGATTTCAAGTTACGATTTTGTGAAGACATGTTCATGAAACTTGGAAACTTAGTGAAATTTTGCCCTAGTTTAGGCAGGATTTTGACCTAACTTCATGGAACTTTTTCACATAGTTCCAAGATGAATTTTCAAAAATGTCAAACATAGAGGTTGTAGATGATGTTACAAGCTTTCCAAAATGTTCAATAACTCATTGAGATCATACTTGAGCAAGGAGAATCGAAGGCAAGAAGTTAGGGTTTTCAAACTTGAATTACAAGTCATTTCTTGATGAACACATGAACCAAATCCATGCTAGGCTGCATAATCTTTGCTTTGCAGGCCTCAAACTTGTTTCTCACTCCATAATTAATGTTTTGCAAAGCTTCTAGAAGCTTTAATCCAAGAATTCAATGCATTGCCCATGCTTAATACCATTTTAGGAAGAAAGGCAACATTGCCATTTTGGAAATGTGGTTTTATGCACAAAGTCCACTCTTCTTGAGCCTCTAACTTGTTTTTTCAGCACACACTCAACATACAAAGTCAGATAAACATGTTTAAAGCTTGTAACCACTCTAGATAGCTTTGTAGTTGTGCATTGGAATCACATTTCTCAAGCTTTCTTCAAAATCAAGCAAAAGAGCCATAACATGTGAACTTATACTTCTGATTAGCAAAAGCTCTCAAAACCTTTTCCTATACATTGATACACTATTATGAAACTTAACACACGAGCATTAACACCCTCAAACTCACGCAAACTCCCTGAAAACTCAGATTGCACAAAAGCTCCATTGTTGTGCAAGACCTGACCAAAAACTTCCACCTCTCAAACCACTCATGCGCTTTCCCTCCAAAACCTCTCAAAAGCTTCCTTACTTCAAATACAACTTATCCCAATCTCTGTTTCTAAACTGTAACACCATTTTCACCATTGTCCAAGCTCAAAAACAAGGGTCTGCAACTTGACTTCTCCAGGCCATTTCAGCCGCCCTCAACTCAAGCTAAGCATTGCATTAGCTTCCTAGAGACTCAAGAAAGCTAACCTGATCATTGCAGCACCTTGAATCAAGCTCAAACTCATTTCACGATTTCCATTTTAAAGGTACATTTTCTGACTATTCATCTCATTATTTAGGCATTGTTAGGCTTGCTTTTGTGAAGATAAAATTTAGACATCATTGCCCTGAAACTATACATGTCCATAGATTTCATTTATATTGCTTGAGTAGTGAGAATTTTGAGTTTGAACTTGCTGAAATAATTAGGTCAGAATTTGGTACTTTCAAAAATTCTCATTCATCTTTGATTTATAGCTTATGATATTTATATGGTTGGATTCGTATGAAAAAATGGAGCAACTTTCATGTTTGCATCTTTCATTTTTGTTGAGAAACGGTGAAGTTACAGGATCTATGGCTGGAGGTTGAAGATGAAGTTGTATTCAAGGCATAACTTATGTTACATATTTATTGTTTTGTTTATATGAACGGATGTATCGCCACCCCAGTGGTAAAGCGCACGCTTGTTAACCTTTGGGACTTGGGTTCGAGCTCCAGTGGTACCCTTTTGCTCTTTTTTTACATTTTCATTCTTTTTTTTGTTTACAAACACAGGCGCCTGGGCCTCCCACAGTAGGCCTTGGTCTTTTTGCTGGCTTCTAACCCCTGCCTACTTTTGCACCCCTGGCCCAACTTTTTTTACTTATTTAATTTTCATTTATTTCTTTTCTTATTTTTATTTTATTTCAGTTTTATTTTATTATTTTTATTATTATTATTATTATTATTTTTTACTATTAAAAAATATAAAAATATTTTTATTTATTATTTACACTTATACATTTTTATTTTTCTTTGTAAAACAAAAAAGACTAAAAACATTTTCTTAAAACAAATTAATTTCTTTTTTTTCTTAAATAATAAATATTTAGACTTAGGTTTAATTATTATATTATTTTCTTGTAAATTAAAATTAACTTAGAATCTAGGTTTCTTTTTTTAATTGATTAATTTTCATATTATTATTATTAATTTAAAACCTTTTTATAAGAAACCCTAAAAAACATTTTTAACTTAATTTCTTTATTAATTAGTTCAGGTTTGATTTTTTTTAATTTTAATTAATCATTTTCTTTAATTAGGTTAAAACCCTTTCATAAAAATCCAAACAAAATCATTTCTTTTTCCATTTACATTCTTGCATTATTTTCTTTTTAATTTTGTACAATATTCAATATGGTTGTAATAAATAATTAGGTTTAATTTTCTTGCAAATCCCCATTTGTAAATTTGTATATCCCCTCCCCTAATGATGTAATAGCTTAGTAATTTTACTTTCTGCAATTTATCGCTTTATATAAATGCTAGTAATTAGGGTTTGTATGGCAAGACTAAAATCAACAAATAGCAAACCCTAAATTCAAGATAAACAAGCATGTAAATCAAACACACTTGCACACTTACACCCTTAGGGTAATTCCACTTGTTGCCTTACGAAAATGGCCATGTTATGCACGTGGGGTATCTTAGCAAAAAGCAATCAAAAATACGAGATCATAGTCCCTCGATGACACTATCAAATGTTGCCTTTCAAAATGATAGTCCCTCAAAGAGAAATGCTAAGACCTCCTACAACATTG